CAACCATCCCACTCATCCATCCATCTCCCACCCTCTCCTCTGGGTGGGTGCACGTTCACACTTCAGTACAGACACACTTTCCCCATCTGTTACTTTTTTTTCAGGCAATATTTTTCCTTTCACATTATCTACCTGAGGGTTCGCTTTGGCCTACTCTACCATGACCTCCCAGTTCACCAAACACAGTACACCACAGTGTGCAATGATGCAAATTTAATTGGTTAGTCACCCCAAGCCCACACCTCAGTGTGTTTTAACGCAAATCTACAGTCAGTCCAACCGCACCTCAACGCATAATGATGCACATCTTGCAGTCACCCCAAACGCACACCCCAGTGTGTAATGATGCAAATCTAGCAGTATGTAAGAGTGCAAACCTAGTCACCTACCCAAAAAAAAAATGACCACAGGTGCACACGTCCTGTACGTTGTAGTAGTTGTTGTTGTTGTTGTTTTCGATCCAGCAACAGCTGGGCTCTCGCCCTTCTGTCCAATGCCATGTAGTGATAATTGCAGGTTTGCTGCAGTTGCTGTAATGTTCCATAGAGTGTGTTGTCAATTTTAGGTCTCGGAGGGAGAAGAAGGGTAGCTCTGATGTCATTTAGGACTGTGCAGTGGAACTGGTAATGATCCACAGTCTCATATGCACAGTCACACAAGGGACACATTGGGGGAAGTTCTGGGTTTATTCTGTTCAGGTGGACGTTGAGCTGTATAATATGTTCTGTTCGTTGGCGGAAGATCGTGGTCTTGTTTCTTTCTCTGTAGGTGGTTGATATTGTCATTCTTTTTTGTTGTGGTAATATTACATTTGAAAACTGCTCTGCCTGCCTATCTGTTCATCCAATCTTGTTTGTTGCTGCTTTTAGAGATTTGTTTTGCAGTGTTGTATGAAGTTGAAATGACGGGTTGTTCCTGTCTAGATTCCCGTTTGGCGAGAGTGTCTGCTCTGTCATTTCAAGGTATGTTTGAGTGTCCGGGAATCCACTGCATCACCAGGTTGATGCCACAGAATGTCATCAGATGATGGGAGACAAACAGTATAAGAGTCAAATCTTGGTTTAGCTGATAGTCATTTTCTATCGCTTGCAAGACTGATAGTGAATCAGTGAAAATCACAATACTCTGTGCTTTTCCAGGATGAGTGTCAAAAACTGTGCTGAGATGGTACAGTGCTGTTTCAATTGCCATCATTTGTGCATCATAGTTGTTTCATTTCTCTCCACAGGCATGAATGTTTGTGGAAAATCAAATCAAAAGACTATTGCAATCCAATTCTAATAGACATGGCATACAACAATTTAATTGAACATGTGCAAAGTTCTGACAGAATAACATAATAACAAAATTAATCCCTTACAGAAAGGAGTAATAAAGTTGAACGCGGAAAAATTTCTGGAGCTGAGACTCAGGACATTTACACACCAAGACTATGGTACAAGTATTTATGAAGAGCTTTTGTTTCTCAAAGACCAGGATATATGAGTCCTCGTCTATACGTAACTAATGTTTATAAACCTTAGAGGTGGGGGGTTGGCGGGTGCTCTGGAGTGGATTGCTTCTTCTTTCCTATCAAACATCTATCGTCCTTATCTCCCCTTCTTCTTTTTTTATGTTTGTTACTCTCTTGTAACACCTCTAATCTTCTGGCTCTCATATGACCTTATGCAGTTGCGAGCGCTGTTAAACCTCTACTAAAACTAAAAAAAACCTTAGAGTCCAAAGTCAGTTCCTTTAAAAGGTGCGTATGGGTGAATTCCTCCAGCTGAAGAATCCATTGTTTGCACCATAATCATTTTTTCCCCTTTTTTGTCTTTAGAGAAATATTCAAAACTCTAGTCGAACCTGTGTGAGATGGCCACCCATTGTCGGGGAGGAAAGTGGCCGTATAAGACAGGTGGCCGTCTTAGGCAGGACTGATCAAGATGAAGAAAACAAACCATTCCCTTCTGAGGTCACAACCGAAGGTAGCCGATTTGTTGTTGTTGTTGTTGTTGTTGTTGTTGTTGTTGTTGTTGTTGTTTTTGTTGTTGTTTTTTGTTGGCTTTAAAAAAAATTTGTTGCTCATTTTACGCAAGGGTGAAAATAAAACGAAATGTGTCAGACGAGTAAGATAGAGGGCCACTTGGAGAACGAGCGACGCTTGTGTCGCAAGTTCTTGTTGACGTCCATTGTTACTTTGTTACACTTACAGACTGGGTAAACTGTGACCACTCATCTCACTTACGAATGAGTACGAATTCTGGGCGGGTCTTATGGGTTAAGAGGGATCACATGCTTTCCGTGGCTTACCTCACCAGCAGCTGAAAATTTGTTACCTATTGGTCAACAGTGGGAGGGGCCAACCCAACATGATCGGTTGGAGGGAATACCTAACAACAACGACAGGTGATTGGATTATGACGACTCGTCCACAATGCCAGGGGCCAATGCATGATTTATGACAAAACACAATGAAGTCACTAAGATGGCCGTCTAAGACAGGAGCTATTGTTTGGTGTGATAGCGGTTGTGTGTTATAACATGGTGGTCACGACCGCGTTGGATGTTTTACACAGATAAATTATATAGAAAAAAAGAAACAGGGGAAATAGAAAATGGCTGTTTGTACAGGTGGCCGTCTTATAGAGGTGGCCGCCATGGCAGGCGAGTCTGTATACAAGCAATAGCAACTTTACTTTGGGTGGGAGCCATTTTGATAATGTGCCGGCCTGTGTAGTGTGTGGGCACACGTACGCAAGATCGCTCACGGATCCGATTGTGAGACCATCTTGAGACCATCATGAGACCATCTTGAGACCGCCTTGAGGTTGTCTCGAGACCATCTCGAGATCATCTTGAGGGTGTCTTGATATTGGGAACTGCGTAGGGCCTATAATGAGTGGGGGGCTTTACTTGACAAGATTTGATCCATTTGACATGGGCTCAATGAGTAAAAGTGAGGCAGCGTGGTGGAATCAGGTTCTCGTCAATTTTTGGGCATGTAGAGTTATTGGTATCATCTTAAAGCTGTTTCACTTGTGTTTATTTTGATGAAAAAAAATATCCATTTGTTTTGAATACAAGTCAAGGTATTTGCGAATGAAGGAGGTGGGGGGTCGCCTGTTTTCAGAGGTAAAATTAGTGAGAAAATGGCCGCCAAAGATTAGTTATTTCCTTAGCTTTAGAGTCCGTGGTGACTGAAAAGTTACTTTTTTGTGTGCCTTTAATCAATGTTTTTTCAGAAAAATCCACACAGAAATGAGTTCTTTAATGGGCATGAAAGGTGTTGAGCCAAAAAACAAAAATTTGATAAAAATTCACAAACCAGCAGAAAAATGCAAGTTTCTTCACTTTGATTATTTTGCCGAGAGCCTGATTCCACCACGCTACCTTACAAACAAGCAGCACTTACATCTCCGACAGTCTTGTCTCTGAGGCTCTTCAGCCTGATGACTTTACTGTAGAGAAGGGACAGGGTGCCGTACTTGATGCGAGCGGCTGCAGAAAGAGAAAGAGAGTTAGTTTTAGTTTAGTATGGGGTTTTACGGTGCTCGCAACTGCATAAGGTCAAATGAGCGCGCAAATAGAGTTACATAATGCAGAGACCATTATCATAATTATTGTGTTGTTTATTATTGCAGTTGTTATTGTTGTTTTCGCTGCTACTGCTGTCGTTAATATCACTGTTGTTGTTGTTGTTGTTGTTGTGGTTATTGTGATTTGAGGCAGACAAATTACAATGTATCTATCCATCGCACACACCATAAAACCGTGCTCAATGACTACAGTCAAAACCACATATGCATTGAAATAATTCATATTGAACCAGTTTGTTTGTTTGTTAGAAAAAAGAGAAGCACATTGAAAACAGTCATTTTGTGCAAGAAAAAATCAAGGCAGACAGACAGAAATAACAGTGTAAAATTTTCAAAAAGTAGGAACTACCAGTGGCAAATAAACAGATAAAAAACCCAGATAAATAAGTATTCTTTAATGTAAACATTTTAAATAAATAAATAAATAAACAAATGAATA